TCTGTCTACCCGGGTGACCCGCGGGTCTACCCGTCGGGTAACCCGGGTTGTATTTTTTAAGACGGGTTCAATCACTACGTACAAATATCAGTTTTGACCCGTGCCATTACGGTAAAATTTTCTTATAGGGCTGCCATGCGTAATAAGTCCTTAGTTTGCATTTGTATAATCATACTACAAACTATCGTACGTACGTTTACTGAGCCCTCAACATCATAACGATAAATGAAAATTTCACAGCTTCGATTATCTATTATATTGTCGTACGTACGTAATTTTGCGGCGCATTTGCCTTCTAAAGACAATTTGATCAAAAAGTGCGAGGATTCCATTTTTCCCAATGCATTTTATTTATTATTCTTTTTCTGACTTATCAATTTTTTCCTTTATTATTTATTTATTCATCTTTATTTATTTCTAATTCATATAATTTACTGTCTACAAAAAAGACTATAAAACAATGCTAAATATTTATAATTATCTTAATACTGTTGAACCTCTCAAAACCGATAACCTGTCAAAAATTAATCCACCAAGTTTTTTCTGCTATATAAATCTGATAGTTTTTTCAAATCAGATAATCTCTCAATACTGATACGTACAAAACCTGCACACCATACATCAGGATATGAACTACCGTAAAATTACTTTTATAACTTGGTTCAATATATATGCAATATTTTTTATATTTGTTTGAAACTTATTATCAGGCTCGATAATTCTGATAAAATATTTTCATTATTCTGTCATACCGTAATAATAAGTGATTTGCGAGTCGGTCAGGAATGGAGTCTGGTGCTTTTATAAATTGTAGTTTAAATTTTTAAGATTCGAATATTCGAATAAATTCGAATAAATTGACTAAATCAAATGATTTAAGTGTCTTTTTGAGACGAGTCCAGCTTCCAATATACAGTATATCGTAGATGGTTAATGGCATATCTTGTAAAAAAAAAGTCGAAAACTACAATTTATAAAAAACTGATCAATGAGCTGAGGTAAAAGTAGCGAAAGGGTTTATTTATTTATTTATTTATTTATTTATTTTGTTTATTTTATTTGTTTAGTTTTTTTTTGGCAATAGTTCAATGTTCATCTCATTTTCATAATCCGTAAATGGGATAATCAATCTAATTCAGTCTACAATAATCGATTGTTGTTGTTCTTCACTAATCAGTCGATCTAAATTCAGAGAAAATTGATCGAGTCCAACAAAATCTTGAGCTTTAGTAGCATGCGAAATAGCTTGGCTATACAATGATTTTGCAATCTCAAAGTTTTCATTTTTTTCGTAAATTAAACCTAAATTATTAAAAATAACGCCAGAACATTCATCACAATCTCTGTTACCACTGATATTTTTTGAAATAGATAAACCTTGTTGCATCCATCCCATCGCTTCATCGTGTTTTCCTAACCCATAAAGCACTTCACCTAAATGACCCATTGTTATGGCTTCCCAACATTTCCACCTATCTTGATTTTGATCATCTTTCAGCTTGTTTTGTAGCATTTTTAGAATTCCTAGATACAAAGGTAAAGCGAACTCAAACTTCTTTTGTTGAGCATATAAGCCTGCAAGTAAATCGATATACTTAACCAACTCATCACTAATAACTTTAGAATTTTCAAGAAACGAAGTAGAAATTTCCAACTTTCTGTTTTGATCATCATCAATAACCCAATTCATTTTATCATCATATTCATCAAGTTGTAACATCTCAATGGACCAACACAAAAACTTTTCAGCATTATCAAATTCTTTCATAGTGATATAAACCTCAGCCAACTTTTTCGATACCTCGATCGCTTTCTTGAAATTTTCAGGACTTTTTGATTGTAACAATAATTCTAAAATAGATCTATAAACTAAACTAGCATCTTCGAATTTTTTTGTCCATACGTAATTATAAGCTATACGTAACCAAATATCTATAACTACAGGATCATCCAAACTTAAATTTTGTTTATTAATGGCAACTTCTAAAGCTCTTTGTAAATATACTTCAGCTACATGAGAATCGGTTACCATTTCCTCACGAAAGTACGCACCTCGCAAACAATTTCTGGCTTCTGAAGATAATTTTTTTGGTGTGGGATGTAAAAAGTATTCAATATATAGATGAAATCCCCGGTATGCCAAATAAAATATGAAAATCATTAATGACATCACTGTTAAAGTGAATTTAATGATTTTAAGAAGTTGAGCTTTTGCTTGTTTTGCCACATAGATAAACGTTGTTTCTCTTTTTTTTTCTTGGTTTGTTAATGATGTGTTGGATAATGAAGTGTATGATTTTATTTGACGACTTATTGACTGAAAAGAATTTTTTGGATGACTTGTAATTAATATTCTTGGCTTTAGAAGTATAATACGTGGTTGTGTTGTGTAAAATAAATTTGTAAATGTTATTGATGGTTTAAATGATTGTTTGAATTTAACCTGGGAAAGATTAGATTGTTGAGGAGGTATTTTAGATTTAACATTAGAGTTATAAGTAAAAAAGTAACTAACGTTAAATAATGGCTTTGAATTCAAGAATGGTAAACGAAATCTTTGTAAATTCATTGTTAAAAAAAAAAAAGATGCATTCATGAATACTATATGTGTCGTGGCTGATGCTGAAAATGGCCTAAATTATGTTGATCATTTTGCTTAGCCAGAATTCGATATTTATGCGCTAAAGCTAGCCAGAATTATGGTGAGTTAGCTGGCATTGAGGGAGATTTTAGACCGGGGTAAAATCGCCACCCCAAAAAATTTCAACCGGGGTAAAATCGCCACCCAAAAAAATTTCGAACATCACGTGATACAACTAAAATTCGTGTAACTTGAATAAA